CAAGTTGCTTCTCATTATTTTTCTTTTTAGCATTTTTGACTACATTTATATTCTTAAAAGTTATGAATATACATACACACATATTATGTAGTATATAGATGGCATAAATGATATTAATAAAGCTAACACCCATGTTTCCACCACCCAACTTAAAAAAATAAAACATTACCAGTGCCTTTGAAGCTCCTGGCTTGCTCACCACACTTCCCATCAAGAGGACACCACTGCTGTGAAGGTTGAATTCAGCATTCCTTTACTTTTCGTTGTAGTTCTAACACATGTGAACTCACTTAAAATTATCCTTCTTTTTTAAATCACTCTCCTATCTGGCTCCTGCCAAGTCTCTTGACTATCCAAAGGAACCATTAAGCACTTGCTGTGATTCAGTGTAGATTTTTGCCTAAGGTCATCTCTATTTCTGAGAAATGTAAACAGGAGATGCAATATTTAAAGTTTGGTATGCAGGCCATTTTGAAGAGTTTTAAAAAATTATTATACTTTAAGTTCTGGGGTAAATGGGCAGGTCAAGCAGGATTGTTACATAGGTATACACATTCCATGGTGGTTTGCTGAATCCATCCCCCCGTCACCTATATTATGTATTTCTCCTAATGTTAGCCTCCCCAATCCCCCTACCCCTGCTATCCCTCCCCTAGCCCCCCACCCCACAACAAGCCCGAGTATGTGATGTTCCCCTCCCTGTGTCCATGTGTTCTCGTTGTTCAACCCCCACTTATGAGCGAGAACGTGCAGTGTTCAGTTTTCTGTTCTTGTGTCAGTTTGCTGAGAATGATGGTTTACAGCTTTTTGAGATGGAGCCTCACACTGTCGCCCAGGCTGTAGTGCAGTGGTGCGATCTCGGCTCACTGCAATCTCCACCTCCTGGTTTCAAGCAATTCTGCCTCAGCCTCCCGAGTAGCTGGGACTACAGGCATGCACCATTTTTAAGGGTTTTAATTCTGGGCGACCAAAACCCAATAAATGTCTACAACCTTTAAGAAGGGTTGGTAGCAGTTGAAAGTTAACCAACATTTTTTCCAACACTGACCAATGCTGTTAAAATGGGTTTCCTTTCTGGCATCAACATTGATATGGTTGTTTTGATGCAATGATCTTGACACAGGAATGTTTTGATGCCCACTAAAAGCAAATCGTTAAGACTGTAGCTTAAAAAAGGACAGAGCAATTCCACTTCTGTGAATTTCATCCTTCAGATATACTTGCATAGGTATAGAATGTATTTATATGTCCTTATTCATTGTAGCATCATTTGAAATAATAAAAGATCGGAAGCAACACAAAAGCTTATAATAGAGACTGACTAATCATAGTATATTTACACAACAAAATATTTTTACCACCATGAAAAAGAATGTGCAGGACAGTATACATGATATGCTGCTTTTTATTTAAAAAGGTGGTGGAGGGATAATGCATATTCTTGACATATGTATAAAGAAACTAAGAATTTATAGGAAAATAAGAATAGTAGTTACCTGAATAGAAAAGCAATTGGATAGAAGCAGAAGTGAGAAGACTTTTCACTGGAGACATTTTTGGTTTTTGAAAAATATGTTTGAATCATCAGAATCATTGCCTATTTCATGCCTAACCGTGCTCCAGCCCACATACCTTCTCTGACCTGCCCCGTGTCCTGGAGGGATATTTGTTTTGCATACTATTTTGGTAATTAAAACATGATGCAGTTGTTATGAACATCTAATTCAAAATCTCACCCCGTTTGCTGGGACCAGTTCAACAGAGATGTGAAAAATGAAACAAAATTTCTCCCCACATGAATAAAGCTCCGAGTGTTTGGTGTAAGATTTTATCCATGCATATTTTCACTTAATCAATGAGTAGACATTTACTCAGACATTCTAATGTGCTGGTCCCTTTGCTGGGTGTTTGGCTTTGTGTTTAGATGGATTGTGCTAGTCATTACTGAGCACTGATGGGGGAGTTCTTAGATTGGTGGCAGGGTACCAGCTAGGAGGTTGCTGCAGATGTGGGTCCAGACTGGGAGCTGACAGTGAGGAGGAGGTAGGGTGAGGGGCTCTCTTGAAGCCCCTTTCACTGAGACATTTAAGACTAACTGTCCAGCCACCTGGCTGGGATAGATTACGTCTTTGGGATACATTACGTCTCAAAACTGATGCCTGATATTGTCTAATTTTATGTGAACCCTGTTCTCTGTTGTCTGAAATGGACTTCACCTTCAAAGATGTCAGAAGTAGATTAAGAACCACACCAAGGCAAAGTAACAGCCACGACTTCTGATTTTTCAAAGAGCAAAATGTTGATTGCTAATTCTAGTTGGATACTGAATTATTGGCTAAAGTTGCTTTGCTGTGTTGTATCTTTTCAGCTCAGAGGTATATTAAGATGGTAAAAATACAAAGCCCCACTTTGCTGTTGAATAGATTGAGCTGATTAATACTGGCATTAATGGAGAGAGTTGCTGAGGACACAGGCATGATTTTTGTTGCTATTTTGGTAGGTCTTCTCAGGTATCTACAGCTGTAAAAAGAGTCTTGGGAATTGCAGAAACAAAACAATGAGGTAATCCCAGCCACTTGGGTTATTTGTTATGCCAGAAAGAATTTTCTCTGGGATAAATGGATGAAATTGTCTTATGTGTAGGAAGATTAGGTCACAGTTTGCTCTAATTTTGGGATACATTATGTCTCAAAACTGATGCCTGATATTTCACCATTAGCAAAATCACTCTTTGGGGGTGATATAGCTTCTAATTAAAATACACACGGACATTGATGTAGAGAGCAAGGCTTTGTTAGTGGCTGGTGGCGCGGGACTCAGTGGGAGGGTGAATGGAGTGGGCAGGGGATTTGGAACCATGTGGGTAGGGGGTTGAGCACTGAGTTGGGCGAGGAACAGAATATACAGAGAATCTGCAAAGGTAAGGGGGTGGGAACAGTTGCTGAAAGAGGTAAGAGAGGACCTAAGACAATTTCATTTGCTTTCCAATATTGAATTTGGCATCGGAAAGTCTGCATCAAAGAAAGGGTGAGGCAGAAGCTTAATACTGCTTTCCCCATGGCTCCTGTATTGCAAATTCTTCATAGGAATGTTCTTCAGAGACCTTGTTTACTTGCCTGTCGTGTATTGTTATTAGAGATCTTTGGATGTTGAAGTAATTGAAAACTGCAATGTGAGGGCACACTCAATATTTTTGAGGCACAATGCAATCTTGGAGATGCTTTCTTATTTGAAAAGCCACCTAGGGGATTCTGGCACATCTTGGTTTAGCTCAGATGCTCTGTGAGTAAAGATTATGAGTGTAGATATCACTGAAGAGCTGGAAACTTAGCCAATTAATTTTTATGGCTTGATATCAACAGTGCTATTAGATGTGTATAAACATCATGTGCAAATGTTGGGAGAAAGAGTGATCTTTTCCCATTAACAAAGGATTCTTTCACGGCGGTGGTGACAAGGTGGCAAGCAGTAAGCAGGCGTGGATGAGAGAGGCAACACTGGCTTTTATCTTTGAAATCATTATTTTCACTTCTGCATCAAGGTCAGAAAACCGTGCATAACTTTTTGGTTAGTACTACAATAGCCTTTAAATATGTAGGTCTGCCATGCAAAATTGTATGCTGTGCAGAAAACAAATCCATTCACTCATTCAACGCATACTCAGTGTAAGCCTATTATGAGCCAGGTGCTGTGCTGGACATTTGAGATGCAGTGATGGAAAAGAACAGATCCAGTCCCAGCCCTGGTAGAGTTTATAGTCAGTCGGGGAGATGGATGTTCATTGAATAAACAAAAATAAACATATTGTTTCAAATTATGGTAAGTGCTATAAAAAATAGGTACACAGCTATATGAAGCATATAATAAGGAAAGGGTTGTTTACATTGAGAACTGAAGAATGAATGAGTTAACCAGGTAAAAAGGTGCTTGGGGGTAGGAGGTGGGGAGGGAGGGTGCAAAGAACATTCCAGACGTAGAGGAGTTTGAGAAACTAAGAGACTAGTGTTTCCAGAGAGCAATTCTTTGTAGGTAACTTTGGCCATGTCTTTGAACTTGATTGTGTTTTCGGTTTCTTATTTGAAAAACGAAGGTTTTGATACTGGCTCCCTATCATGATAAATAGCAACTGTCCCATAATTAATGAAAAGTTGAGTCACCTTGTTGAATTCTAAAATGAAAGGTGCTGTAATGGCATGAGCCCTGCCAAAAGCTACATCCAAAGACAAAACACTGAGCTCAACTCTATGCATGCAAATAGATAATAAGAGTTCTTTAATTAGATTTTGCTTTGTGATGAAATCACAATTGAACTGTTCTGTAAATCAGAACTTGATTCCTATAAAGTAAAATTGTGAGCTTCATTCTCTGGTCTTCTATCTGCCTGGCCTGGATGAGTGAATCATCAGGCCCACACTGGTTAAGTCCATTATATTCTAGCATACAGATAAAAATTTTGCTCTTTAAAAGATAATTACTCAGAAAACCAAAATAATTCACCCCATTAGCTTGTTCAAAAAGAAATAGCTTTATTTTTAGACCGTGATGTATCCGCATAGATGTTTCTAGCCTTATGTATTGCATATGCTGAGCTAATTTGATTTTGCTGAGACTCCCTTTGTGAATTTCCTGTGAACTGCTGATTATTACACACAGCTTAGGGCCTGGTTCATTTTAAACAAGGTGAGTATGTGGCAAAAATGAGCCCCTGTACAAATGTTCATTTTAGTGTAGAAGCAGGTTCTCACTTCACCAAGATAATGGCCTCCACAGTGAAAAAGAGGCTGAATTCAGTCCTCAAACCCCCTGCCTTACTGTTTGTCACAGAGGCACACCTCGGTGGCCAAGGGTGCCGTTGATCTCCCTGCTGCTGCCATGTGAGTGATTGGGCAGTGTGGCAGCTCCCTCCCTCCACCGGACACTGCCATTCCCCACCTGGCCTTTATGACCTTTGTGGAAAAAAAGCCCTGAGCTGGACCTACCTGCCCACTGGAGGCACTGATCCTAAGACTGTGTGCTTGCCCCAGCAGAAGAGCTGTCGGCGACAGCTGCTTCAGTCTCTGGCATCTCAGCCTCCCAGCCAATTAACTCTGGGAGCTGCTGGCCAAGTAAATCAAAGGGCAGGAAACAGCTAAAATTAGATGTGGAAGGGAGATGAAACCATAGCTCTTTTGAACTCAGAAGCATCCTTTAAGCCAACAGCATAAGGTATATATTTTTTGTTTCTTTTTTCTAACAATACTTTGCTTCACAGTTTGTGTCAGGTAATAGTTCAGTTGATTATAAAGATTTGGGACTTTAAAAATAGTTTTCCTTGACTGCTAGGTTGGGAAATGAGAAGCCACGCTCCTGTGGGTTACTGTGGCTCAGGCTGATTTGTGAGCGATCTGGGTGCTGGATTACATTTATGTTAAAAAATAAGCCCAGAGGATACATCAGTAATTGCTCCTCTGTGGGCTCCCAGTCACATATTTGTGGGCATCTCTTCGTGACTTATGGAGCTGGAAGAACTGACTTCAGCCTTGTACTTGGAGAAAGCTGTGTAAGAATATCTTAAGGAAGAAATCCTTCCTTTCATCCACTCATGGCAGAGTGGCAGGGAGTATGAGCTCCAGAGTTAGACTGGAGTGGGGCCAAATCTTAGCTTCACCCCCACTGATTGTATGATTTCAGATACGTTTCTTCTTTCACTCCCAGTTTCCTTATCTGTAAAGTGGGGATCATAGCACTCATCTTGTTTTGAGAAATAATATAATAAATATATTTTTATGGGGCCTGGCATTTAATAGGCACTCAATGAAGGCTGCATTGTTATCATTTAATCAATATATGTTAAATGCTTGTCATGTATTATGCATTATAAAAGATACCAAGAACTATTAACTATAGAGAGTTGGAGAGAGGAAATATTGGAATATGAAAAACAAATATGAATAGAAGCTATGAATACCAATTAGGTCATAAGTAAAGTGGAACTAAGTGAACAGGACAGGTGTCAATTAGGAGTTCAAAGTTCACTGAACTCTAGATTAGTTGGAGAAGGCTTCAACTAATGGGTGGGATTTAGGGTTGGGATTCTATTCTTGCCACCACTCCCAGACTCATGAATATACAGTTGGCACAGTGGATAAGAGACACACCTCTTATCCACTGCGTGAGGTAGGGTCACAAGAAGGTGCCATTCCCACGTTGTTTTAACTATAGGCCCCACTGTCAGCTACACGGACGGCAATTCTGTGAGAAAATATTCCATGTGCCTGCAGATGACACAGCCTTCATTCTGTAGCAATCTACTTTGCAGAGAGAGAAATAATTCCCTTTCCTTGGTCTTACGTTTATTCAGATTATGTTCACTGATGACCTAATATACATCCATATGCTAAGTGCTAGCTAGAGGCAGAGATGGAAAGACCTGAAAACCAGTCTCTTCTGCTTCCCTTGGACACCCCAGTGTTCAGCCCTTGGTTGCTGATGGAGTCAGTGCCAGAGGCCTCCAGATGATCAGCCTCCCACTACCCAGGCTGCTGCCATGATGGCAAAGGTGAGTGATGTCACATGGCCGTGGCAATGAGTACTGGAGCCCTGTTGAGGTTTGAATAGAAGAAACTTGTCATAATCAAGGGAATCACAAGCTGACATTTAAAAAAATCACCCTCTTTCGTTAGAAGGAAAATCTTCCATTCTCTCTTCGTCCTTCCCGGTTGCTTGCATATTGACCTTAGCCCATAGAGGAATGGACTTTTGTCTCCTCTCTTTCCTCAAGGGAGTGTTGGAGAGAATGCTTCTGAGATCAGTCTTTCTTTCTCCTTTTCTTTCTCTCTCTTTCTCCCTTCTCTCCTTCCTTCCTTCCTTCCTTTGGTTCGTTCCCTCCCTTCCTTTGGTTCTTTCTCTCTTTCTCCCTCTCTCTCTCCCTCCTTCCCTCCCTCCCTTCCTTCCTTCTTTCCTTCCTTGACAGGGTCTCACTCTGTCACTCAGACCTGATCATAGCTCACTGCAACCTTAATCTACTGAGCTCAAGTGATTCTCCTGCCTCAGCCTCCCAAGCACCTGGGACTACAGGTGGTGCCACCATATCTGGCTAATTTTTTAATTTGCAGAGACAGGGTCTCACTGTGTTGGGCAGGCTGGTCTCAAACTCCTGACCTCAAGTAATCTTTCCACATCCGCCTCTCAAAGTGCTGGGATTACAAGTGTGAGCCACTACACCCAGCCCAGTCTTCCTTTAGATGAGCCTCCTTAGCTGTCAATCTGATCGGTCAGTCACCAGGCCGTATTTATCTTAAGGCGTGGTTCAGACCCCACACTGTTTCCTCTGTGCTGAGGTGCAGAAAGCTCTACTCCACTCCCACTCATGTGGACTTAACCCTCTCCCCTTCTTGGAGAGCCTGGCTATTCTCCCAGTTCTTTCTGTTGGGACTTTATTCAGGGGGCGAGACAGGTCTTCTCTCATTGTCCACACTGCTAGTTGGGTTGGGTCACTCTATCTCTCCCAAGATTGATGTTCAGGAAGGAAAGGTCAGGAAGAATGCATTTGTATTGTTTTTGTGCTCTCCTGCTCACACCTGGGGCTTGGTCCCTCTCAGGTAGTTCATTCCAGGGAGTGGGGCCCTTGGTTTCCTCCTCTAATCCCAGCCTGTAGGCTGCCTCAGGCTCTGCAGCTCCGGCAGCTCTGCACAGGCTAGGGAGCAGTTCCCTCTGTTGACATGTTACTCTCAGTGTTTACTTTTGTAAATTTGCTTTTGTAAATTCTCAAACTTCCTTTTCATGGGTTAGTTCTCAGCTATTTGCAGGTGCCTCTATCATGTACTCAGAACTCCTTATGAAGTAAGCAATATTGGCCCCATCTTGAAGGAGAAGGAGAAGGGAGGCCACGGCACAGAAAACTTAAATGTATGATTCAATGTGGCGCAGCAGGCAACAGCAGATCCAGGCATGGAACTCGGGGCTATCCCAGTTCAGTCGTCATCCCCACCGTCTACTTGTTTTTCTCTCCAAAATTCACTCTGTAGGTTGTAATTTTGGTACATTTTCCGCCTCCAATTACATCTTCACTTGTAAAGCTAAGTGAGACCTGAGACATGTAGACACCCAGGAAGCTAGTGGAATCTGACGCTTTCAGCTTAGACTTCTGACATGTGTGTTCATTCCAGATCTGCCATAATTCACGTAATATTCTGCTCTTTCTTCTTTTTCCCAATTCAATTCAAATATATCCGAGTCAAATTCCAGTGTAACTCCAACCTCCTGCTATAAAGCCTTCTCCAGACACTGCAACCTGCATGGATCTCTTTCTTCTTAACATCGGGAGCCAATTCAGCATTTCAGTGTTCTTTCCGGATTTCATGGGGATGATGTAATCTTTTCTACTTTCTTGAGGACAGGAACAGTATCTTCCTCTGCTTTTGACTTTCCGGTAATAACTAGAACAGTGCTAGGCAAATTAGGTGCTCAATGAGTTAGTTGGCCTTTTTAGTCCTTGGGATAATTTTTACATTGAAAGCAGTTTGGATATAAAAGGGCCAGTTGAAAAATGTGATCAAAGCTTCAACAGCCATAGGCATATGGGCTGGATTAACCTGTCTCATTCATCTCAGATGCTCCATTTGCATTTCTGTGACCTTTATATAATGTTATATTAAATCATGATGAAGCTTTAGGTCTTATCACAGTTCTCAGTTTCAACTTTTAGACATTGGAACTTTTCAAAATTGTTATGTTTCTTTATCATTCACCAAATAAGACTATATATAAATCAGTGCATTCTATAGTAGGGATACCAGACATAAACACGAGTCCATTATTCTGAGTCTAAAGTGCCTTCCACTTCACCACTCCGAATATCCAACTGCCTGGAAAAATTCTACAGTCAAAATCTGGCTTGTGTGGGAAGAGGATGTGTATGTGGTGGGGAGATGAAGAGAAGTTGGTTCAGAGGTACAAACGTACAGATAGATAGATAGAGAGATAGAAGGAACACGTTCAAATGTTCAATAGCAGAGTAGGGTGACCATAGTTAACAACAATGCATTATATATTTCAAAATAGCTAGAAAAGAAGACTCAAAATGTTCCCAACACATATAAATAACTAATAGTGTGGTAATGGATACCTTAAATACCCTGACTTGATCATTGCAATTCTATGCATGTAACAAAATTTCACATGTATCCCATAAACATGCATAAGTCTTATGTATCAATTTAAAAAATCTGGCTTTTATATATATATATGTATATATAAACTTTTATTCTAAGTTCAGGGGTACAAGCACAGGTTTGTTACATAGGTAAACGTGTCATGGAGGTCTGTTGTACCGATTATTTCATCACCCAGTTATTAAGCCTAGTGCCCATTAGTTACTTTTCCTGATCCTCTCACTGAAACTTTTAAAGCCAGAATTCAGGATAAACTTGGTCCATATTTATTTAAAATGCAGATTCTTAGGTCTGACCCCGACCATCAGAACAAGAATCTCAGGCTGGGCTTGAGATTCCCTCTCTATCTAATCTTAATGCTCACTAAAGTCAAATAAACACTGTTTTATGGGATTTTTGTTACTGAATAAGAAGATGTGATTTCAAGTGTATCCCTAGAGAGTATTAAATGGAGGATTCAGGGAAATCAGGTATCTGGGTGACTAAAATATTTTATATTAAAATGTGTAATGCATCTTATTTGCTAGCCATGGCTCATACGGTCTCATGATCCTCACTTCCTAGCACGTTTTAGGTACAGCACGCTGACTATGTGCCTGAATCTTTAAACCAACATCATCAGCCCCAGAGTAAGTATTGGGAGTCACAGTGGGAGACTTTGGAAGTGTTAAAATAAGATTTCAATTTGAGTGAGAAGCTCCTTGGATTTTCAAAAGTGCACTTTTTTCCCCTTCCAGTTTAGATTAACTTTCTCTCAATTTTTATAATAGAAAGATCACAAAGAACTGACTGTTGCCTACAGCTGTTAAAGATAGCTCATTAGGATAGGTGTGAACTGGGAGCTCATTAGCCCCTTCCGGTTTCCCAGCTGCAAAGGTCAGGGCAGACTAGCTACTATCACAGGGTCGGAGTGTGAATGGCAGCTGGTCAGGAAAGATAAATAAGACAAGATGGGGAGCAAAGCAAGGTTACTATTACAAGAGGTGTCATCCGGGTAATAATGGAACTTAACCAATGAAAAATCACTCAAATCATGACCAAGCCCAAAAGGAA